GATTCAGCGGCTAATTAGCCACTTGGATTGCTTTTACTTTATTCAGCATCAACGGCTGAAAAAAATAGGATACTTGGGTCATGGATGCAGTTGCAGCATTGCTCTGGTATACCTACTCATACCTGATGAAGTGCAGGTACATCGTTGGGCGGAAAGTGGTTAACCACTTCCTGTCCGGACACTTTTACCCCCTTCCTGTCCAGGGCAATTTTCAGCTTTCAGAGCTATCACACTTTGAATGACAATTGCGCGGTCATGCAACACTGTACCCATATGAATTTTTTACCATTTTTTTGAGACAGATAAAGCTTTATTTTGGTGGTATTTATTCACCGCTGGGATTTTAATTTTTTTTGCTATGTAAATGAAAACGGCCAAAAAGTTTGAAAAAAAGTGTTTTTCTTATAAAATTTTGCAAATAAATAATCTTTCATCATAAATCTTGGCCAAAATGTATTCCGTTATCATTTTAGTAAAAAAAAAAATAAGCCAAATTAGTTTATAACCAAAAATTATAATTTTTAAACTTTTTTTTTACAGTTTTATTTTATTTTTTATATTATTATTTATGTGTGGTTTTTTTTTTTTTTACATACTGCCACCCTAGCAGTACAGTGTCACCATGGTGACATTGTACTACTTGTGGGGGGTGATGAAGATTTTTTTTTTTTTTTTTTACAGTGATTGCTTTTACACCCATATAGGATGTAAAACCAATCATTTCTCTTTCTCTCTGTCTGCATTCTTGCAGCCATTGAGAACTACTGAGTGAGCTGTGATTGGTCACAGCTTGTCACATGGTACAAGGCTGTTGTGAATAGCCTTGTACCATGTGACCTCTGTGATCATTCACAGATTTCACACGTAGTAAGCAATGATGTCACAAGTGACATCTTGCTTACTACTTTGCATGTGATCGCTGATTGGCCAATCAGCGATCACATGATCGGGACCTCGTTCAGAGGTCCCGTCCGACGATCGGTGTTTCACTGTGTCCGGAGGGAGCCGCACAGCCGCACAGCTAGAAATGGCGGGTGCCGTTTATGAACGGCAACCCGCCCCTGGAGTGCCACTGCCCTGCCGTTTATAAACAGCAGGTGGACGGCAAGTGGTTAATAATGGCATTTGTTTATACACACAGTGCTATAGCAAACTAAATGTCATTAGGGTTTACTTTTTCTTTAATAAATACAATCCAGCAAGATTGAGGGGGTTGTACTGGCCAAATAATATGAACTAAATTACTTTAGTTTTTTTGTGAAAATACTGATTTGTGTCATATCAGTCTTAAATACAATTTCTCATTACTTTTTACTTTGGCTGGAAAATAAATGTTGGATGGAGGTTATCGTGAAGTTATTAAGCAACACATGACTAATATAATGACATGAAATCCTTGCACCTGAATTAATATAACAAACAATTAATATCACAGCTGCAAAAGGAAACTACAGAGGTTGCAGACAGCTGCAGAAAAAGAAATGATTACCTTGGGGTAATACTAAATTTCAACATGAGTATTTATCAATCATCTAGAGTACATGTTAACAATGTAACAGTACATGATTTGAAAAGCTAAGAATTAAAGGCCGTATGTGATAATTATTACTAGCACACATTGGTGCCCTGCACACAGCAAGAAATGGCCATGTGCTGTTGATTAAATTACTATATTCAAATATTGCTTTAACACGTAAGAAGTTAACGCTGGCCTTGCAGTAGGAAGCAAGGGCCACTCATTACATCAGTCCGTAAATCAGCATGTGACAGTACAAAAAAAGGACAAAAAGCATGTGCATGGGATAAAAGTTAGAAAACAAACTTACATCAGTAAGGTCCAGGGGCGGACTGACAACTCATGGGGCCCCCGGGCAATAGGGGATCATGGGGCCCCTGTGTCCTTTCCCAAACTCAAAAAAGCCTATAAAAAAGGTACCAGGGGCATCTCATGGGGCCCCCTACTGACCCCGGGCCCTCGGGCAGTGCCCGAGTTTCCAAATGGTCAGTCCGCCCCTGGTAAGGCCTGATGTAATGAGCACACCTTGCGTTTTAGTTCAAGACTTTCTTTACCAACAGGGGCGGACTGACAACTCATGAGGCCCTCGGGCAATAGGGGTTCATGGGGCCCTGTGTCCTTGCCCAAACTCAAAAAAGCCTATGAAAAAGGTACCAGGGGCATCTCATGGGGCCCCCTACTGACCCCGGGCCCTCGGGCAGTGCCCAAGTTTCCAAATGGTCAGTCCGCCCCTGGTAAGGCCTGATGTAATGAGCACACCTTGCGTTTTAGTTCAAGACTTGCTTTACCAACAGGGGCGGACTGATAATTCATGGGGCCCCCGGGCAATAGGGGATCATGGGGCCCCTGTGTCCTTTCCCAAACTCAAAAAAGCCTATGAAAAAGGTACCAGGGGCATCTCATGGGGCCAACTACTGACCCCGGGCCCTCGGGCCGTGCCCGAGTTTCCAAATGGTCAGTCTGCCCCTGTTTACCAATAGGATGTAGTGTTGTAGTCAGGAAATGTGTTTATTAACCGCTTTACTGCCGCCCTATAGCAGAAATACTGCTACAGGGTGGCAGGGGTGCGCAAAATCACATGTACATATATGAGATTTTGCATTTCCGGGTAGAGGGCACACGCCACCATTCGTGGCATCAGCTGTCAATCACCAGGTCCTGGTCGGTGATTACTCGCCGGCACCCGGTGATTGCCGAGTAATACCGACGGGGGGGGAGAGAACTGTATGTAAACAATACAGTTCTCTCCCCTGTCAGCTCCAGCACACTGCTTTGTATGGCTCTGCATAGCAGAGCCATACAAAGCAATGTGCTTACAGTGAAAAATACAGACACATCCCCATAGTAAAACACACACACACAGTACACGTCTAACCCTTTGATCGGCCCAGATGTTAACCCCTTCTTGCCCAGTGCCATTAGTACAGTGTTGGGCTTTTTATTAACACTGATCACTGTATTGGTGTCACTGGGGATGTCAGTGACACCAAGTCAGTTCCATCCCAGTGTCAGAATGTCCGCCCCAGTCCCACAGTCCCGCTATAAGTCCCTGATCACCACCATTACTAGTAAAAAAAAAAAAAAAAATTCCAGTATATATACCGCCATTTGTAAACGCTATAACTTTTACGTAAACTGATTAATTTACACGTATTGGGGTTTTTTAAGCAAAGACATGTAGCAGAATACATTTTGCCCTAAATGTAAGACGAAATTTTATTTTTTTAAAAATTTTTATTGGACATGTTTAACCTCCTCGGCGGTATGATTCTTTTTTTGTGCTGAAAGCGGTACCATTTTTTTGCATGGAAATTTTTTTTATTGTAGACCTGTAATTTTTAGGAATAACTCACTGAAATCTGTCCGAACAAGAGTCTAGTAAACATTCCGGGTATGATAAAACTTGAAACACGAAATCATAAATTATAATTTAATAAATAATCATAAAAAATAATAATATAATAATAATACATTTAATTCAATAATATAATCAAACCAAAAACACTGAAATGTGAAATATAGCGCCAAGTTCGCACATCGCTGAGCAAAGTCGCAGAATCGTTTTCAGTGTCTGATGAGGAATTTCCCCCACGAATCATTATCACTCAATTCTGCAAGTGGTTCTGATTTACTATCGCTGTTCTCTAGCCGGTCTAAAACCGCTTTTGACCTAAAGGGACGCTTTTTGGACGCCATGGACTTTTCTAAGTTTCCAGGCAGAAAGAACATTCAAAATGCAGGCAGAGCGCCGGACAAAGCAGTAGGGCCAAAATATATGTGAAATGGGTTGAAATAGCAATGACAGCAACGCCGCATGGTAAGCCCGAGTGTAGCTCGGGGTTACCACTCTTGGTATAGAAATTTTACCCCGAGCTACACTCGGGATTACCGCTAAGGAGGTTAATAGCAAAAAGTAAAAAATATAGTTTTTTTCTCAAAATTGTCAGTATTTTTTGTTTATAGCGCAAAAAATAAAAACGCACAGGCGACCAAATACCACCAAAAGAAAGCTCTATTTGTGGGAAAAAAAGATGTACACTTCATTTGGGTGCAGCGTTGCATGACTGCGCAATTGTCAGTTAAAGTAACGCAGCGCCGTAACGCAAAAAATGGCCGGTCAGGAAGCGGGGGAAATCCCCTGGAGGGCGAGGGGTTAATACATGCAAAACTTACAAAGTCCAAATTGTGCATTCACAAAACGAGCAATTCAGCCCCTGATTATAAACAATGATGAGGTTACTTCCACGCGCACACCATCAGCGAATCTTCGAAATGAGTGCCAAATATTCCAATATCCGCCTTATTAGTTTGGAAAATAATTTGCAATTCCTCTTTCTGTTAATGAAGAAAAGCTTAATTTGTATCGTACATAAAACATGTACATTCTAATATTTAAAATATAAAGCGTACTTTGTTGTCATAAAAAAAAATGGTGTAAATTATGAGCCAACATATTGGTTAGATAATCCAAAATATGCATTTCACAGACCATGTATCAAGAACCCTCGAGATCTGATGTCATTCCTAGGTCAGGTCAACCACTGGAACCAATGCCCTGTATGGCTCCCTGCAGCATCTGCAAGCTGAATTCTTCTCCTCTCCCTCCAGACGGTTTTCAGTTGTTGCAGAGAGAGCCATACAGGGAATCAGTTCCAGTAATTGCCCCCCCCCCCCCCCACCATGCCAATCGCCCTCCCTGTACACATCTGATTTACCCAGCTGCTTGGGCCCCCACAATGCCGGCTTCCCTCCTCTACTTCCCACTGGCAGCTGCAAGCACAGAATAGGATCCTTCAGGATGGGGAGTGGGGGAAGGGTCTGATAAATACACATTGTCACATTAACCAGCCCCTTCCTTTCCTGAATGAAGACAATTGACAGATTGGCACTGATCACTGTGTTCATTCATAAATGAAGCATAGTAAACTGTGTTTTTTTTTTTTAACCTTCCTGGCGGTATTCCCAAGTGTAGCTCGGTGTAAAGTTTCAGTACCAAAAGCGGTAACCCCCCCGAGCTACACTCGGGCTTACCATGCGGCGCTGCATAGGGAGTCCCTACAGCGCTTTCCTTGTCCTTTGCTCCCACGATGTGTCCCCCTGCAGCGTCCCCGGCCATCTCCTCCGGCCGATTCCGGCATCCGGCTTCCGTGTTCCGGTCCCTGTGATGTCAGGATGTACGGGCGCCGGCGGCAAATTTGAAAATTTAAAAAAATGACATTTTTTTTTTAAAACAAATTTTACATAGTAAAACATTCCTGTTTCAAACCATTTCACATATATTTTGTCCCGAGTGCTTTGTCCTGTCCCCTGCCTGCATTCTGACTGTTCTTTCTGCCTGGAAACTTAGAAAAGTCCACGGCGTCCAAAAAGCGCCCCTTTAGGTCAAAAGCAGTTTTAGGCCGGCTAGAGAACAGCGATAGTAAATCAGAACCACTTGCAGAATTGAGTGATAATGATTCGTGGGGGAAATTCCTCATCAGACACTGAAAACGATTCTGCGACTTTGCTCAGCGATGTGCGAACTTGGCGCTATATTTCACATTTCAGTGTTTTTGGTTTGATTATATTATTGAATTAAATTTATTATTATTATATTATTATTTTTATGATCATTTATTAAATTATAATTTATGATTTCGTGTTTCAAGTTTTATCATCTCCGGGATGTTTACTAGACTCTTGTTCGGACAGATTTCAGTGAGTTATTCCTAAATTACAGCCTACAATAAAAAACTACAAATTTCCATGCAAAATAATGTACCGCTTTCAGCACAAAAAATCTGAAATAATCAGACCGCCAGGGAGGTTAAGGGGCCCTGTCAGGTTGGCTGTATGGGGTCCCATGGTTTCTAACAGAATCCCTGTGTACATGCAGTAAAGCATGCTTATTCTACTCAATGTGGAACCTAAGGGATAAATTGTGTAAAAATGCTGTTTGATTATGTCCTCTCTGATTCTCCCCTTCTTCCATTGTCCCCCTCTTATATCCTGATAAGCCATATTATGGGTAGACACTCTTCACATGCTCAGTTTGGTGTTTATTGGTAGAGAGGTGTTATTTTTTTACTTGGGAAAGTGCATGTGATCAGCACAGGGCCAATGTCCAGACAGAGGACAGGGGTTCTACATCCTCCTACAGCAGAAAGAAAACTCCTCCCACAAGCTTTAACCAGTGCTCTGCTGAACAATGATAGAAGTCACAAGACTGCTCTAACTGCTGATGAGAAAAGGTATTTAGTAGTTTATATTTACTAAAATAATTGCATTTCCATGTTCTGTGTACTGTGGGAGACCATATATAGTGAATGCAGGGTCTGGGGAGACCAGATATAGTGAATGCGGGGTCCGGGGAGACCATATATAGTGAATGCGGGGTCCGGGAGATCAGATATAGTGAATGCGGGGTCCGGGGAGATCAGATATAGTGAATGCGGGGTCCGGGGAGAGACAGATATAGTGAATGCGTGGTCCGGGGAGAGCGGATATAGTGAATGCGGGGTCCGGGGAGAGCGGATATAGTGAATGCGGGGTCCGGGGAGAGCGGATATAGTGAATGCAGGGTCCGGGGAGAGCGGATATAGTGAATGCAGGGTCCGGGGAGAGCGGATATAGTGAATGCGGGGTCCGGGGAGAGCAGATATATAGTGAATAGTGAATGCGGGGTCCGGGGGGAGCGGATATAGTGAATGCGGGGTCCGGGGAGAGCAGATATAGTGAATGCGGGGTCCGGGGAGAGCGGATATAGTGAATGCGGGGTCCGGGGAGAGCGGATATATAGTGAATGCGGGGTCCGGGGAGAGCGGATATAGTGAATGCGGGGTCCGGGGAGAGCGGATACAGTGAATGCGGGGTCCGGGGAGAGCGGATATAGTGAATGCGGGGTCCCGGAGAGCGGATATAGTGAATGCGGGGTCCAGGGTTTAGTAACACTTTAAGCTTTGAAAATGAAAGCTGGAAGTTAATTAGTTTCCATTCCCAGCTGCTCTATATTATGGCAGTGCCAATCTTAGTAAATTCTCTTTTGTCTGCGTCCAACCTTCTCAAAAGCTGGAAATAAGGTAAGCAGGCCAGAATAATGGTACACTCCCAGTATAAATGGCCACTTCTTCTAGATGCTTACAGATCACCGAACTTCTTACCTTGTCCTTAAGTATAGGCAAAGTAACCCTGCAGTCTGTGACATGATGCTCTTACATTGAATTCCAGAAAAATCCCATTTTTATTTACAGTATATAGTTCATTAACCACTTGCCGCCCAGCCACTGTAGAAATACGGCGGCAGGGCGGCACGGCTGGGCAAAACCACGTTTTAAAACGTGTGTTTTTAAAACAGGTAGGGAGCGCGTGCGAGGCGCGCCGCTGCCCTACCTGTCCCGCCGATCATGACCACGGATGTCAGTCGCCGGGTCACAGCCAGTTGTTACCGGCTATGTCCCGGCGATCGGCGGCAATCGCTGACAGAGAGCACAGCTGCAGTAGCTGTGCTTTCTGTCAGTTCCCTGACAGTTCCAGGACACGCTGATCGGGACAGAAGAATTTATCTCTCCCGATCAGCGGTGTTCCCTGCAGTGCACACCCCACCCCCTAGTAAAACACTCCCCCTCACACAGTTAACCCTTTCCCTGAATAATAAACTTAACCCCTTCCTCCCCAGTGCCATTAGTACAGTGTCAGTGTTTTTTTTTTGCACTGATCACTGTATTGGTGTCACTGGTGATGTCAGTGACCCCAAGTCAGTACCCCCCAATGTCAGAATGTCCGCCGCAGTCCCGCCATAATTTGCTGATTGCCGCCATAAGTCCCTGATCGCTGCGTAAGTCACTGATCGCCACCATTATTAGCATAAAAAAACCCTAAAAATCTGAGTATCTTTACCGCCATTTGTAAACGCTATAACTTTCACGTAAACCAATTAATTTACACGTTTTGGGGTTTTTTTTAGCAAAGACATGTCGCAGAATGCATTTTGGCAGAAATTTATGACTAAATTTGATTTTTAAATTTTTTTTTACTGGACATGTTTTATAGCAAAAAGTCCAAAATATTTTTTTTTCCTCAAAATTGTCAGCCTTTTTTTTTATAGCACAAAAAATAAAAACCGCACAGGCGATCAAATACCACTGAAAGAAAGCTCAATTTGTGGAAAAAAAGGATGTAAATTTCATTTATGTACCGTATTGCATGACCGCGCAATTGTCTGTTAAACTAGCGCAGCGCTGTATAGCAAAAAAATGGCGTAAATTGCAGTATCTATACCATAGTTTGTAGACGCTATAACTTCCACACAAAGCAATCAATATACACTTATTGGGATTTTTTTTACCAAAAACATGGAGCAGAATACATTTTGGCCTAAATTTATAACCAACTTTGAGTTTACTATATATTTTTTATAGATGAAAGTAAAAAATATCGTTTTTCTTCAAAAATTTTGGCCTTTTTTTGTTTATAGCGTGAGAAAAATAAAAAGCGCACAGGTGATCAAATACCACCGAAAGAAAGCTCTATTTGTGTGAAAAAAGGACATTAATTTTGTTTGGGTGCAGCATTGCATGACCGCGCAATTATCAGTTGAATCAGTGCAGCGCCGAGTAGCAAAAAGAGGCGTGGTCATTAAGGGGGGTAAATCCTCTGGAGGGCGAGGGGTTAAAGGGAATGTTTTGTATTAGGTCATGACTTTAAGTTGGGTAAGACTCCATTCACACTTGTGTGACTTCAAAATTGTGCAGTTTGTATTGTAACTTTACAGTGCGACTTGACGTGACTTTGGCTTTGTCCAAGGATATTGTTTGTGCTGCATAAAGTCGCGCACAAGTCACACTTTAGCCACATGCATATAATTCAGGTGCGACTTTTATGTGACTTTGAAGGGTTTACATTGAAGTCAATGTCCCTGAAGTTGCATGAAAGTCAGATCAAAGTAGTGCAGGAACTACTTTCAAGTCGCTCCTACTTGAAGTCGCACAGATATGAATGGTACTCATTGGGAAACATGGTGTACGACTTGCACAAGTGTGAATGGGCTCTTAAAAAGAAATATAGAATATTATTATTTAGTATTTTTATCCAGCTCTCATCTTTTTTTTATGTATTTTTCCTGTAATTCGTTACAGCCTGTTGAAAAAGCCTAATGTTTATAGACCTCAATAGCTCAATTTGAATTTTACGACACAAGTATATGGCTCATATTCATAACTTATCTGTTGTGGTACAGCCAGGGGCGGTCTGACCATTTGGAAACTCGGGCACTGCTCGAGAGCCCGGGGTCAATAGGGGGCCCCATGAGATGCCCCTGGTACCTTTTTCATAGGATTTTTTGAGTTTGGGCAAGGACACAGGGGCCCCATGATCCCCTATTGCCCGGGGGCCCCATGAGAGTTGTCAGTCCGCCCCTGGGTACAGCTGTAAGAAGTTTCAAGCAGGCAAATGGAGCCTTGAGACAGGGCACTGCTACTGTGCTATCTCATAAGTGTATTTCCATTTTTGCACCCTAACTGGGATAACTACTTTATATTTGTTTCATACTTCAGAATAGTGCATCTAACAAGGCTATGTATATTATATAGGGCGCGCTTGTTGGAGCCCAACCTCTGAAGCTGTAAGATAAAGGAGGTCTGAAGAAGGAGCCTATTGAGCATGCTCCGAAATTCATTACCGCCCCGTTCACCTGCTACATCTGACTCTGCTCTCCAACCTTCATTTTTGATGCACATCCTGGACTCTACTTCCTGATCCTATAGGCATAGTCTGCTGCTGGACGGCTGGATGTCCCACCTGGATCCAATTACCACACGGTGAGTCTTTTTAACCGTTTATCTCAGGGGTGTCCAAACTTTTTTCAAAGAGGGCCAGATTGGATGAAGTGAACATGGCGGAGGGCCGAACATTTTTCCGAACATTCTTTGAACCATTACAATTAAATGCAAATAAATTATTTTATGCCAAGTTATTTGCAAACGACATACTTTTCATTTCATAACATTAAGATCAACTGACAGCTGAGTTTTCACAATGTATTGAAAATAAATTTAAAAAAAACTTACCTGCACTAATGTGAAGGGTGAAGAAGGTAGCTGGAGCTGAAGTCTCTGCTCGGCAGCCGGGAAGGGAAGAGAAACACACTTCACGCTGGAAGCCCGGCCCTGACGTCACCGCCCTCTGTCGCTCCCAGCGCGGCGCAGTCACGCATGCGCACTGCTCTCAAGCAGAAGACTGCCTGCCACAGAAGGGAGGGCCATGCGACAGCCGCATTTACACAGACCAGGAAGAACGCGCCGCAGTCAGGCATGCGCACTGCCCTCTGCTCTCAAGCAGAAGACTGTCTGCCATAGAAG